GCTACTACTACGCCAGTAGGCTGCTACTACTACGCCAGTAGGCTGCTACTACTACGCCAGTAGGCTGCTACTACTCCGCCAGTAGGCTGCTACTACTCCGCCAGTAGGCTGCTACTACTCCGCCAGTAGGCTGCTGCTACTCCGCCAGTAGGCTGCTGCTACTCCGCCAGTAGGCTGCTGCTACTCCGCCAGTAGGCTGCTACTACTCCGCCAGTAGGCTGCTACTACTCCGCCAGTAGGCTGCTACTACTCCGCCAGTAGGCTGCTACTACTCCGCCAGTAGGCTGCTACTACTCCGCCAGTAGGCTGCTACTACTCCGCCAGTAGGCTGCTACTACTCCGCCAGTAGGCTGCTACTACTCCGCCAGTAGGCTGCTACTACTCCGCCAGTAGGCTGCTACTACTACGCCAGTAGGCTGCTACTACTACGCCAGTAGGCTGCTACTACTACGCCAGTAGGCTGCTACTACTCCGCCAGTAGGCTGCTACTGGCGCCATTCATTCAGCTGGAATGCATAAAGCTCCTTAGCCCAAATGTTGAGCTTCTGTATTTATTGCAATATCCAGTTTCCCCGCCAATAATATCCACCATCCCGGGCAACACCCACAGCGAGAGGAGACAATAACAGATGCACCGCGAACCACAGACCAGGACGCAGGCCACCGCAGACTCGCCCTATCTACCTGCCAGACCCGCTCTTGCTCCACGTCAGGAGCTAATGGTCCTCAATTATGACTGGAGTTCGCCAGGTGAGCCATGCAACCTTTCCCAAACCCTTTGTATCACTGTCCCACCTGCTGCTGCAACCGGAGAGCAGCTGTTGGGCTGGCTGGCGTTCCCGCCCTTTTCCAGGTTAGCTGACCCACTGCGGGCCAACACCCTCATCCAACTTAGCATCCGCGAGCAACAATACCCAATTAATATGTTTATTTGTGATGTGTGTCTATGTATGTATTAACACGTTGTACTGAATGGGGTGAGAATAGCTTGAGCTACCTCATCCCTTTGTGTGTATTTTACCTCAATAAACTTATTTCAATTTCAATTTCAATACCCAATTTGTAGTGTAAATTCAACGATTTACACTACACTACACAACTCTTTGACCATGTCGTAGCTCAGTCGATTAAGGCAGCGTCTGGGATGCTCTCAGACGTAGGTTCGAATCCTCGTCACGGCCCTTGTCGATTTGTTCATCTTCAATGAGCTTAACGCCAACACGCTGAACAATTAACGCGTAATACGCCAGCGTGCAATTTTAATGTACACTGAGAACTAACATGGCGCCCACATACAGTGATGGTGTTCACTGTCATTGAACATTACTCCCATAGAATATGATGGTGAACACTGGCAGTGAATATGTAGGAATGTGACACTCTTAGGGAACATGAGGCCCGCGCACATATACCAGAGTGGTGGTCACATAGGCCAGAACCCCCATTCACCACTTGTGTAATGTCTCACATATATATATTAATACATATACCACTAAGATTTTTATGTATACAAGTTACTAGAATCTGCTTTATCTTTAATACAGCCCGTCCTCCAACTTAGGTAGTGCTTATAGCAATGCCGGTCGGGAGCCGGTCGGCCGAGCGGACAGCACGCTGAACTTGTGATCCTGTTGTCCCGGGTTCGATCCCGGGTGCCGGCGAGAAACAATGGGCAGAGTTTCTTTCACCCTATGCCCCTGTTACCTAGCAGTAAAATAGGTACCTGGGTGTTAGTCAGCTGTCACGGGCTGCTTCCTGGGGGTGGAGGCCTGGTCGAGGACCGGGCCGCGGAGACACTAAAGCCCCGAAATCATCTCAAGATAACCTCAAGATATGATGAGGTTGTTGTTTGTTGTTATAGATTCAGCTACTCGGAACAAGTTCAAAGTAGCACGGGCTATGGTGAGCCCGTGACCTATGATGAGGGCCACCGTGCATATATTGAAGTAAAAGATAATTAGATAGTTGAAATTGTTACTATTAAATTTGGACAAACCAGAAACGGTTTTTAATTTATGTTGCAAAAACAACCTAACCTAACCTAACCTAACCTACCCTTCCTAGGCGTATTACAGTAGGCGATGAGTCACAATAACTTATACGGTGAATCGACTTGAGAATGGTCCAGGACGGACCGAAACGTCGTCGTCCCTTCACCTTCTAGTGTGTGGTCTGGTCAACATGCGTATTATAGTACATATATGTCTAGGCCTAGGAATATTTAAGTTAGTTTTTTAGCTTTATTTTTTCGGACTATAAAGTGAATAGTACCAAATTCTACTATCTGATTGTCTATTACGTCAATATAAGTGAACATAGTTACAAAAAGTACTATCCAAACAGGAGTTAGGCTGCTTTAATACACAAGACTGAAGGAACATTTCAACACAAAGACCCTTAACTCGTGAATAACTCTTGAATAAGCTGAATTACACAATTCAAATGAGTGTCTGGCCAGACCGCATGCAACCTTGTTCAGCAAAATGTCTTCCAATTGTTCATGAACATGAATAACCCTCAGCTTGGTCATGACCAGCTGAGGGGGGGGGGGAGGGAAACGGACGCTGGTTAGCTGTCTACTACAGTAGTTTTTTTTTTTTTTTTGCAGGGATATTGATATTCCTGCGCGGGCCCTAAGCCTCTGGCTGGCCCACTGGGCGGGCCCTAAGCCTCTGGCTGGCCCACTGGGCGGGCCCTAAGTCTCTGGCTGGCCCACTGGGCGGGCCCTAAGCCTCTGGCTGGCCCACTGGGCGGGCCCTAAGCCTCTGGCTGGCCCACTGGGCGGGCCCTAAGTCTCTGGCTGGCCCACTGGGCGGGCCCTAAGCCTCTGGCTGGCCCACTGGGCGGGCCCTAAGCCTCTGGCTGGCCCACTGGGCGGGCCCTAAGACTCTGGCTGGCCCACTGGGCGGGCCCTAAGCCTCTGGCTGGCCCACTGGGCGGGCCCTAAGCCTCTGGCTGGCCCACTGGGCGGGCCCTAAGCCTCTGGCTGGCCCACTGGGCGGGCCCTAAGCCTCTGGCTGGCCCACTGGGCGGGCCCTAAGTCTCTGGCTGGCCCACTGGGCGGGCCCTAAGCCTCTGGCTGGCCCACTAAGTGTTGCTTGTTTCTGTTTTACTTGGGCGGAGTATGAGTATTTCTGACTCGTATGGTCGCTTCAGTAAGATTTTGACTACAGTAGGTGATGGCACCTACTGTAATTGGTACTTAGTGAACCACGGTATTATATAACTTACCTCCTAATGCCTTCCATGTCTACGTATCTCCTTTCCATTCAAACCGATCTTGCGTCAAGTTATACCAAGTTATACCAAGTTATACTTGCGTATTATATTCAGTTATACTTGCGTCAAGTTATATTACTAGCCTGATGACAATTATTCCAATTTATTAGTAATCACAACAAATTAAATAGAACTAAAACACGTTAATTGATTAAACCAAGAGTGGAGGGCGTAGCCGATTTTTTTTATCAATTCAGTGGCCGCAAGTAAGGCGTTTTGGGTGCTGGATCCGACTGAGAGAATGTGGGACCTGAACGACGCGTGCTGTTGGAGGGAGAAACACCCTGTTTCCCTGGTACCCTAATTACCCCTTCACCCTGGTACCCTAATTACCTGTCTGGTAGCCCTCTAAGAAGTTACAGCCCCGCTCCTGTGCCAGGCAAGTCCACTACGGGCTCACCATACATCGTGCTACTTGGAACGTTTTGTTCCGAGTAGCTGAATCTAAAACAACAAGAACAACAACTAGCCCTCATCATCCACAGCCTGGTAGAGAGAGAGAGAGAGAGAGAGAGGTGATACAGGTGTCCTCCGCCAACACAAAGGTTTCCCGTCGCGGCGCGGTTCAGATGCCTCTAAATAATAGTCGCAGTGCTCAGATGCGGACAAGGTCCTCCACAGTTCGTCTCCCCCACCACCACTCCATACCACGGGAGATAACACCATGTATCCTTGAGATCCACCACAGCACCACCACGGGAGATAACACCATGTATCCTTGAGATCCACCACAGCACCACCACTCCACACCCCGGGAGATAACACCATGTATCCTTGAGATCCACCACAGCACCACCACGGGAGATAACACCATGTATCCTTGAGATCCACCACAGCACCACCACTCCACACCACGGGAGATAACACCACATATCCTTCAAATATATCATAATCACCTACGTTAATCCCATGCAAACTGAAAAGCAGATCCCGTATATAATTAAAAGCGTAAATACCCATCTTGAAGTAGAACCTCCTTCAGTCACAGGTATACACACTCTGTATTATGAATATATTTCTTATATATCCCCCCATATATGCTGAAAGCTTCTGCTGGTGTTTCTTGAGGTTATCTTGAGGTTATCTTGAGATGATTTCGGGGCTTTAGTGTCCCCGCGGCCCGGTCCTCGACCAGGCCTCCACCCCCAGGAAGCAGCCCGTGACAGCTGACTAACTCCCAGGTACCTATTTACTGCTAGGTAACAGGGGCATTCAGGGTGAAAGAAACTTTGCCCATAGTAGAAACTACTATAGTAGAAAGTAGAAACTTTCTACTTCAAACAAATATGATCACCAACCCTATTGCGTTGGTCCACATGACACATAATGTGTCCGAGGTGAACACGATACTGGTACAGACGTGATGTCCCAAACCTTAGTCACATTATTAACGTAGTCGCCTTGTGAACAACTGAAGACACCTTCACATTATATTTACTGCTTCTCCCATCAAACACAATACCGAAAAGGTCTTCGTACTTCAATGACAATCATGTCGGCATTACCTTTGTTATGTGGTTAAATATTTACGAATAGTTTTTTCAATATTATTAAATTAGAAACAAGAGAAAGGGAACTATCAGAGGGGAAAGCGCCAAGCCATTACGACTATATAGCACTTGGAAGGGGTCAGGATAAGGCTTTGTGATGGGACGGGGGGAAGGAATGGTGCCCAACCACTTGGACGGTCGGGGATTGAAGAAACAAAAGAAAGTACTCACCGAAGCAGGTTCAGACGTGGAGGAACTGGACTCCGTCGACGTATTAGTGGCATTGGAATTGGAGGAGGCGTTGGAGGACCAGCTTCTGGAGGAGGTGCGGCCGCTGTTAGCAGTGAAGAAGCTGTCGGACGAGTTGAGACTCAGACTGTCGGGGCTCAAAACAACTCCGTCTTTGGAAATCTCGATTATTTTAGCATGCCCTCGAACTCCTGGCAACCTCAACAAGTTCTTGAGGCTCGACATGTCGCCCTTGAGGTACTGGAGGCCGCACTCTTCACTTGTCTTGTCGCTCTTGGGACTTGACCCATCGGTTTTAAGAGTCGAGACATTTGTCATGCTGGTGGTGGCCGGGGCCATCTTCGTGGGCATGGTGGCGGCCACAGAGGCCGGGTGGCCCTCACTGCGCACTGATCTGAAGGAGAGAGCGTCGGGGGCCCGACGAGCGCTGAATGACAGGCCGCGCCGGACGTTGGCCTGGGACACGCCCGACCAAGTCCCCACTTGGTAGCCGGCCTGTTTCTCTGCCTGAGCGAAGGAGGCAGGCACGATAAGGCTATCGCAGTCTACACTACGCTCACTGTACGAGTCTCTGAAGGCATTGCCGGCCACAAGGGCGTTACCTCTGGCTTCGGAAGGGCGCGCAGCAGTAGGGGACGGAGGCATATGTTGGGCGAGACTGGAGGAAGACCTCTGAGGACTGGCGTGCTTCAACATGGCGACTTCTGTTGGGGAAACAACACTGAATTAACAACATGAATACTATTAACACGCATATGCTGGCCTGACTCTGCTGTGGTATGTTTAAACTGTATCAAGCTGCTTTAAGAATAGTAAGGTACAGAGGAAAGACAGACTAATGCAAAAGATGTGGTCCATCTGCAGTGGTTCCGGCACAACATGTTGTAGTCGCTGAAGGCTAGAGAAGAACAGGTTATTTTCAACTATTTGATTCATACATGTAAGTGAAGCTTGTGTGTGTAAATGAAGTGTGCGTGCGTACATGAAGCATGTGTGTGTAAATAAAGTACATATAGTGAAGCACACGTGCGTAGATAAAGCACATGTGTGTAAATGGTATGAAACTCATGTGTGTGTAAATAAAACACTGCCTCTACACCTCCCCGACTGCTTCTACACTTTACTGACCGACAGTAAAATACGAAAACCACCTCCCACCAAGCAAAAAAATGAGCATTAAGCTTTATCACCATATCCTCAACTCTAACCCTTTGTATCCTTAACCAAGTACACACATTCCTCCAGTGGATGACAGAGTGTTAAGACAAAGAGTGTCCTCACTCCTCACACCGACACGACAATTTGCAAGAGTAAATCTCTCTAGAATGTTTGGCAGACATTCCAATATCACATCATCGCCTCTTGTCTTTCGTGCTAACAATTTGGCCCACAACTACTCACTCTGCTGTCGACATGACCTCGAGAAGACTTGAAAAGCGGAACTACATGATTTTGAAACAAAAAGTCAGAGCAAGACTTCTGTGCATCAAGTCGTTGACTCTTATATTTTATGACATTTGACGTAAAATATATTTGATGTATGTTACAGCCGGCGGTGTGTGGAGGCGGCGCAGGCCATTACTGGGGTGCACAAGAAGGGTTAACAAAAGCCTTTGTGATGCTAGAGAGCAATAATTTGGTATAGTCTGAAAACTACAAATGATAAGGGCGTCGCTGAACATGTGTGTCACCCCAGGAATAAATTTAAGTATTCTAAAAGGCAAGTTTTAATAGTTTATATAGCATTAGCTCTCGTGGACTCTATTTAAAGGTTTGATAAAAACAAGTTCTAGAAGATATGAAAGTATTTGTAGAAGATCTAATTTTAATACTAACATCACCCAATATATACTTAGGGAGAAGTTCACACAACATATTTAAACACATAATCATGTGAGCTGGCGTGCCACAGGACCTCTACCCTTGGTCCACATGTCTTCTCGCTGTGACCCTCCGCCCAGTTACTAATCCACACCGAGCCAGCCAATGGAAACCCGGAGTCAACAGTGTCGGATAGAGCCCTTTGTGTAAATATCCGGTATTGGGCAAATATTCGCCGTCAGAATTAACCGAACCGATGTTTAAATGCTGTCCTCGGATCCGGGGTCAAAGCATATAAGTATAGCGAGAACGGAGTGGTTTGTTGATGTATGGCTTACAGGTGATTAAGTGAAAGTTGCCATGACACGTTGCCCGTACGACACGTCACCCGTACGACACGTCACCCTCACGACACGTCGCCCCCGCGACGAGTGTCCCCTGGCCCCGCTGGCAGTGCGCGGCGCCAAGGGACCTCCACCGTCACGCTGCGGTAGTCGCCGCGTTTTTCCTTCTGCCTGGTGCAGTAGTTAGTGTCGCAATACATTCCCCTATTTATCAACGCTTTGATTACCCGGGCGGACGACAATGATGGCTAATGGTTGCGTAATGTGAGAGACACGTCCAGATGCACGAAGATAACAGCCGATGTTGGTAGTGGCTGCTACGCACTGAAGACGTATTTAAGTAATGAGAATCATGCAGGGCATCTGCGCCGGCCCTGGAGGCTGGCAGACCATCTGCGCCGGCCCTAGAGGCTGGTCGACCATCTGCGCCGGCCCTGGAGGCTGGTAGACCATCTGCGCCGGCTCTGGAGGCTGGTAGATCATCTACGCCGGCCCTGGAGGCTGGCAGACCATCTGCGCCGGCCCTGGAGGCTGGCAGACCATCTGCGCCGGCCCTGGAGGCTGGCAGACCATCTGCGCCGGCCCTGGAGGCTGGCAGACCATCTGCGCCGGCCCTGGAGGCTGGCAGACCATCTGCGCCGGCCCTGGAGGCTGGCAGACCATCTGCGCCGGCCCTGGAGGCTGGCAGACCATCTGCGCCGGCCCTGGAGGCTGGCAGACCATCTGCGCCGGCCCTGGAGGCTGGCAGACCATCTGCGCCGGCCCTGGAGGCTGGCAGACCATCTGCGCCGGCCCTGGAGGCTGGCAGACCATCTGCGCCGGCCCTGGAGGCTGGCAGACCATCTGCGCCGGCCCTGGAGGCTGGCAGACCATCTGCGCCGGCCCTGGAGGCTGGCAGACCATCTGCGCCGGCCCTGGAGGCTGGCAGACCATCTGCGCCGGCCCTGGAGGCTGGCAGACCATCTGCGCCGGCCCTGGAGGCTGGCAGACCATCTGCGCCGGCCCTGGAGGCTGGCAGACCATCTGCGCCGGCCCTGGAGGCTGGCAGACCATCTGCGCCTCTCCTGTCACTACCCTTCACTCACATATCTCCCGAGTCGTGCAAAATGCCATTATTAACTACAATGCATTCGATATTTAGTGCTCCTGGTGTATTTTTATGGTTCACACACTCATGTATTCCAAATAGGAAAATATTAGTATAGAAAACTGCAAAAGACCCAAGGAAAAATTAGGTATGGTTGCTGTAATTTTTTTCGGGCCCTCCATAAGATAGACACAATAAAAGGTAGATATCTATCGGGTGCAAAAGAATATTTTGCATATATCAGTCATAGCGACTGAGGATACTCATTTTCTATATCTTCCTATAAGCTAATGTTGGTTACACAGTTAAATGACTCGTTTAGTATCTGAAAAGTGACTATTTTTAAGTGTAAAAGACACATCGAACACTGTGTAGGGCATACGTAAATCTGTGTATCCATGTATTTACGTATGTAGGTTAGTTTATCATTTTAAAAGCACTACAATCACCTTCTGTGGTTGATTGTTCAATAAACCCCTGAACTATATGTTTAACACATCTCCTACCCTGTCCATGGAGGACAGAAGAAAATGTATACATGCTGGTTAGCATTGTAAATGTCTGGCCACGTCTGTGGTAGAAATTAATTAAAAAAAAAAATCTCAAGTCTTCCGACAGTTCCGTAAGTGCTTGAGGCAAGGACGGCACTCAAAGGACCATTAGAGAGAGAGAGAACATTACAACACAGACAAGATTTGCCGCGTGTCGGCTCAGACGACACCGTAACTACCTTGCAGAAGGACTCGTTAAGCGTGAGTTCTATTAGTGTTAAACGTGAGTCCCTATAACCCCGTTAAGCGTGAGGTCGTCCCCCTCTCTCTCTCTCTCACACTCTCTCACACACACACACACACACACACACACACACACACACACACACACACACACACACACACACACACACACACACACATTGCTGTAAACAACCGATACACATGCACACACACACAACCGATACACACACACACACACACACACACAGTCATTGCTGTAAACAACCGATAGCTGGAAAGGCGGGATCCAAGAGTCAATGCTCGATCCTGCAAGCACATATAGGTGAGTACACACACACACACACACACACACACACACACACACACACACACACACACACACACACACACACACACACACACACACATCCCCCAGGAAGCAGCCCGTAGCAGCTGTCTAACTCCCAGGTACCTATTTACTGCTAGGTGATCAGGGGCATCAGGGGGTGAAAGAAACTCTGCCCATTTATCTCCGCTGGGAGTCGAACCCTGAACCTTACGACTACGAATCCCGAGCGCTGTCCACTCAGCCGCCAGGCCCTGTCCTGGAAGGTACTGGAACCGGTTAGATATATTCATGTGCCATGTTTTCCCCCAGTGCACTATACGAGGACCAAATTACACCCAAGCCCACAATTACTACTCAGGGGCAATCCAGTGAAAAAGCGGTTCCCAATCGTCCCATCCTGGCCAGGATTCGAACCCAGATCATCTCGTTTGCCGGCTCATTCTCAAAACATTAATAACATTTATGAAAAGAGAAACAGGTTTAGGAGCCTTAGCGACGCGAGCCTCACTGCTCAGCAGTTGCCCTTTATTTTATATTTACCCATTAGACCGGGAGCTGGTCGGCCGAGCGGACAGCACGCTGTGCTTGTGATCCTGTGGTTCCGGGTTCGATCCCAGGCGCCGGCGAGAAACAATGGGCAGAGTTTCTTTCACCCTATGCCCCTGTTACCTAGCAGTAAAATAGGTACCTGGGAGTTAGTCAGCTGTCACGGGGTGCTTCCTGGGGGTGGAGGCCTGGTCGAGGACCGGGCCGCGGGGACACTAAAAAGCCCCGAAATCATCTCAAGATAACCTCAAGATAACCCTTCTAGCAACAACCAACATCACATAGCTGACAAATAAATTAATAACAAGAGTCAAAGTTATCACTACACGTGTGAAGGTCTACGACTAGAACAAGCCGCGTGTTTTCTGTTGCAATGTCCCGAATACTTCAGGTAAAGTCAGGATTGCCAAGAGGTTGTGTTAGTGTGGTCTTCGTCTTAAGGAGGGAAGAGGGTGATGCAAAGTGTGGTGAGCGGTCAAGACCTTCACGGGAGAGATCTTTAAGATATAGTGAGGTAACACTGGCCTCATTTGCTGGACGCCAACTGTTAGCATAGTGGGTGTAGTAATAGTTGTGTTGGGCAGCCCAGCTGTAATATACCAACCGTCCTCGTGCTAGACCCGTTCAAGCGGCAGCCCACCCCTAAAAAGACGCATTCATATATGTTAATGTTCTCAGTATTCAAAATAGACATAGGTGTAACAAAAAAGTAACGTAACAATAGGTGTAACAAAAAGGAGACCGGGCCACGGGGACGCTAAGCCCCGAAATCATCTCAAGATAACCTCAAAATATATATATAAACGAGAAATATAGACTGATGAAGATTAAGCCACCCAAAAGG